TTGGTGCAAACGTGCCCCAAATCAGAACACGCTATGAATTCAGGCTATTCCCAACAGAACACACTTGTAAGCACTTTTTAAGGCTGTTTTTCTGTCACAGTTTCTGTATGGTGGTATTTATTTTCCTCTTCCCAAGCCTGCAAACATTAGCCTAAGGATAGTTTGTAAAGAACAGAGTAGACTGAAGACGAAGGAAGGACAAAATATCCTTAAACAGTGAGGCAAACTTGCAATATTTTTATTTTATTTTTACTTACCACATTTTCCAAATTGCACACTCTCAGACTACTAAATACCTTAAGATGTGAGCTCTTTGGTTTTTTTTTGTTTTGTTTTGTTTTTTATATGTCAGCTCGTAATAAACATTAAAAATTCAAGTCCATTTAGAACTCATTTCTTTAATATAGTTTCTCATTTGTTTTTTCATTTCAGGAAAAAAGAAGAAAGGAAGGCAGGGGAACCACAGGAAACATTTTGTTTTCTTATGTGGCACCATGCACATTGGTGTTTATAAGGCAAGAGACTCCCCAGCGCTCTGCAGCTATGCGTCTGTAACAGCTTCTTTCTGTTGCTTCTTACAGAGTTTTTTTCTGAAGGTACCAAAAATATTCTAAAGGCAACACTTATGATAAGTACCCACCACAAGGAAAAGGAATTATTATATCGACATGATTTCTTTCATCCTGGTTTGAAACCATGCTGAGATCCAACGATAACACAGACACAGAAGGCAGCATTTGTCACCGTTCTTAGCCGCATTTTTGACATCTGTTTCACAGCTCTTGGAAAGCCCACTTCCATTAATCTACCATGAGAAAGGACAGGAGATAAAATTCCCAGGCTGCAGAAGGCATTAGGAAAATTTGCTAGCTGACTATACGTTGAGAAAGAACTGTAACAGCCAAATGATGTCACTGTGAATAGACGGAAGATGCTGTAATTCTATTCCTCCCTTTGTCTTAATGGAGTTATTTATGTCGCAATTCTGAGGGCAGACCATTTACCAAAGACTTTACCAGACACCTGACGTAAAGGAACAGCACACCAAAAACCAACAGGGACATCCTGGTCCCACTCGGCAGAGGCAGGTCTATGCTCCCCTGACTCAGCCTTCAGAGCCTTACATGCAAGAAATTTGCCAAGACGACTCCTGCTGCACGTTAATATTTAAACTGCTCGACAAACCATCAAGAGATTCATCGTCAAATCCAGCTAAAACTATAGGAAACAATTAAAAGCCTCATCACACGTAGAACTGTAAATACTACAAAAGCCATGCTTTTAAGTCATCTGTACAACCCTCCAAAAAATCAGAACAAGAAGCATGTGCTGTTCTGTGTCACCAAAGCATAAATATAAAGAGCTGCTTCGAAGTTAAATACTCTCCTAAGATTAGAACCCTAATTCAAAGAGGTTTGGCCTGCTGGTCATATACAACTTCCACAGAAATAATATATGCTCAGCACGCCTTTAATAACAGGGTGCCTTTTATTTAAAAGACTCATTTATTTGATTTAAAAGATTAATTTAAAATATTAATTTCTTGGAAATAAAAGATTAGGCATTTTAGGCATTGGAATGGGCTGCCCAGGGAAGTGGTGGAGTCACCATCCCTGGAGGTCTTTAAAAGACGTTTAGAGTTGAACTTAGTGATATGGTTTAGTGGAGGACTTGTTAGTGTTAGGTCAGAGGTTGGACTTGATGATCTTGAGGTCTCTTCCAACCTAGACAATTCGGTGATTCTGCGATTAATTAAATTGAAAGCATGGATCTCAGTTTATATGACATGATTCCAAAGTAGCCTCTCATACACGAGCAAAAGTGACACTGAAACCAGATGCAGGGTATGACAGCAGAAACTCATGTAAAAAGAAAGAATGAAAACAGAAGTGAAAAGACTGTCACCAAAAAAAAAAAAAAACAAACAAACAACCCAAACCCTTGAATTTAGCCAATCACTTTACACAGGTAACACGTGGGCGATTTTAAAACATGAACAAGTTTGCTATTTTTCGTCGGACACAAACATTCTACACCCATTATGTTTGCTGCTGAGGAGGAAAAAGAAAGAGGCATAGTGTGGGTAGATGTGTTTTGTCACCAAAACACATCTACCCACACTATGCCCCTGTGAGTTACTAACCTGAAATTTGAGGTGTGTGGAAGTAAACGTTAGAAATGCAACTTTGAGTGTGAAGAACAATCCGTGATGGGAAAGCACACTAGCACGCGCTTTACAATCCTGAGTACAGAAACACGGTGGTCAGACACTTGAAAGAGGAAAAAAAAATGGAACTAGCTTCTCTGGATTAACTCAATAATCAAAAGCTCAACATTATCGATCCACATGGTGGGAGCTGTGTGGGTTGAATGCTATTTCACTTCTGAGATTCTACTTTGAAGTTTGAAACAGAGTAAGCATGGTGGTCTCAGCCCAAGCCCCTCAAAAGATCACTAAAAATCATTTCATTTAATGTGAGGCAGCCAACTTCCTGCTAGGATGCACGAGGAGAATATTGGATTTCTCTGAACAAGACTGGTGGTAAGAAAAAAAAAAAAAGAAAGCACCAACAACTGTTTGGCATGCCTAACAGTTATAGAGAAGATCTCAGTTTGCATTGCTTTAAGGAGCAGAGAATAATCACTTCATTGTCTTCAAAATGTTTATTATCTAGCATCATAATTAATGCCATTCCAGTCAACTGCATATGGTAAAGCAGCAGGAATTAAGAGTAAATACCAAAACCCCTGTCAAAAGGAAAATGACTGCAAGAAGCTATGAATACTTGCACATTATCTCTGTGATTGTAGTTACTATGATTCTTCTTTCTCTTAATAGTTTTAATTCAAATCCAGAGAGCACAACAGAAAGAAAAAAAAGACTCTGGGTTTGTTCAGTTTTCCTAATCAAGATGGGGCAAGGGGCAAGCACATTTGTAGGGGTTTACAGGAAACATTCTTGTCCAAACAGGGATTAGACACAATCCTACAAAATACCTTTCCATTGAGGAGAGAAAGATTTTACAATGATCTGAACTCATTGTTCTTGTGCCTAATTTTTGAAAAATATACATAATAGAAAAGCAGACTTTTCAGTTTTTTAATTATCAATTCACTACTCAATTTTGAACAATTTTGCTCAATATTGATGAAAAGAAGGATGAACAGAACCCCACACTATATAAGACGCTACCTGTCTATCTATCAGATTGTGCTGCGAGGATATACAAGCACGAAAACGTATAAAATTAAGAGTAACTCGACCACAAATTAAAAGCCTGAGCATCTAGAGCCTAAACTCTAAGCACTACGCATAAATAGGAAATGCAAGCATTTCCCAGATACGCACCGTTATGGTTTTTACCTCATCCTGTGGAGGAGAAATAGCAAACTCGGTAATAAGTCCGTAAGTTATAATCCTAATTGTCAGTAAAAGGCTGACAGGACTTTACTGAGGTATTAATGAATAACACCTTCCGCATCACCTTGCAAATGTATGCCAGAAACATGATAAATGCATTTTTTGATAAACTGTTTTCCTACTTTCCAGCAAAGTTTAATAAAAACTTTGCAGTAGTTTACGACAAACTTTAGTAAATGAGAAACTTTCGTAACTGCAATCAGGTTATGCAATCAGGTTAATCGAGGTATCTCACCTCGTTGAGATGTTCGTATGTTTTAAGAAAGCCATTTGAGAACTAAGCTGTTAATGTTGCGATATTTAATAGTAAACTGTCAAACTCTGGCCCACTAAACCTTTGTGTCTCATGTTCAGAACTGTTAAAATGCAATGCAACATAGAAAGTGAAAACAGGCTTGAGAAGCCGTAACTGTTCACTGGGAACCAATAAATGCTTCAAGCATACAAGGCTCTTTCAGAAACTTCAGCTTTGCACAGGAAACGAGGCAGACTTGATGTAAGGTACACCGTAACAGCTGAAAACCACTCATCAGGGAGCGGTAACAGAAACTGATACTTCTGCAGCTTATGAACCTATCCTGAAATTGTTCTGCAGTGCATTCCAGCACTCTGCGAGTGACTTACTGAGCTTTTCCTTCATCGCAGCCAGACTCAAATACACACTGCGGTATAAAATATTGTATGTTTTTCTCCACCAGTTCCACTGCAGAACAGCAACAAAAACTGTAAGCAAACATGTGACAAGCTTCAGCTTAATTTTTCTGCCTCCTTTCTGCCTCACAGATGAACTGGCCCAAACACTTCCAGCGGTACTGCTCTGCTCGGTTCACAGGGATGGTCTTGCTGGGACAGCCAGCCCTTCAAGAGACTGAAGTTTAACACAAGAATTCTCCAGATTGCAAAAGTCTGCTGCAATCTTGTGATAAGATCAGCTAAGAGACCCAGAGATCTTTGTCTTCCCTCCCATCTTTCCTCACATCCACTCCGCTCTCTCCCCCATCATTTCCAGCGCAGCCCCCTGGTTAGAGACCATTCTTTCCACCCCCCAAAAAAGTCCCTCTGGGGACTTTGCTGTAGTCCTCAGAGCAAAGCACTGGGCTTTGCAGGGCTGGCCTAACAGCTCAACATCCTCTCCAGCCTTGCCGTTCCTCTGCACAAAATGGCCTCCTCTTTACTCTTCCATCCACAACCCTCTGCTTGCCTCCCCCACCTCTTGCTCTCACCACAAGCGTTACCTCCCTGATAAATGGGTCTGGCTGCAAAGCTGCAATTTGACTAATTTCTGTCAACTCTACCAGAAAGAACAACAGTCATAAAGGAACGAAACAAAATCACCACATGCAAGGTTCTGGCTTCCATCTGTAGGCCTCGTTGGGTTACCAACCTGCTTGCTATCTTACCTGAGAGAGGACAAAGCTGTCAATCCACTGTTAATGACAAAAGTAACCACAGAACAAAACAGAAGGCCAAAAGAGAAGGCCAAAAAGAGAAAACCACAGGACAAAAAAGAAGGCCAAGGAGGGATGGGTGCTTCAGATGCAGAAATTCAAGCTGTGTTCATACCGACAAACAAAACAAGTCATGTTTTACATTTTTATTTCCTCCAACATCACAATAGCACTGAAATTATACACTAAAACCAGAGGAGAGGGTGAACTAAAAAAGAACTTGCAACTACAAGACAGACAGCCAAATCAACACTTGGCTTCATTTCAGTTCAGAAGGAAAACAAACTTCAGCACAGGGAAGAGCAAACACAGGGAAGGGTGACCATTTGCATGCAAGAAGGTCACACATTTGAACAAACATGCCGAAACAGGAAAGCTCTCCAGACAAACACCTCCTGTTGGCAAATGTCTTCCCACTTCCAAGATATATTGCCTCTTTACAGGGGAAAGTATTTACAGCCTTCCAAGAGCATGCAACATGCCCCTGGGCACCCAATATATCCTTATGAGGTTACCACAAGCTGCCCTGTAACACAAGTCTCCAAGGTTTGCATCAGCACTCAGCACATCCCTGAGAAGCAGAGCAGGGCTTCCTCAGGCTACCAGCTCACTTTGGGTAAGCATGCTTGATCAGCCAGGCACGAAGACGAAGGTTTTCGTTCCTGTCACAAAGCACTCAGCCAAGAGAAGCACGACCAGGAAGTTAAAATGTAATGGTACTGTCACTGTAGCATTGAAAAAAAATTTATTTCTTACAAAACCTGAAATCAAAAATAAAGTTAAAATGCATACAGTTTGGGAGAGGGTTGATTTGTTGGAGCAGGGGAGAGAAGGGAGAAATGTATCCAAAGTCATTTCGTAAAAAATGAATTTACAGAAAGAAGATAAACATTTACACAACCAGAAAATAATTTTAAGTAGATCTTCCACGGTTATATAAACTGGTAGAAATTCAACAACTATAAAGAGGCTGGAATTCAGGCACTTGCCTCCCAGCGTTACTAGCCCCTGGGAAACTGATCCTTGCTTCAAATTGCACATTCTTAACAAATTCTTGTCAAACTTAGAGAATAGACCATGCAGAGATCTCCAGTGGATGCCTCCTGACATCTGATGATGCAGCACTCCTGTTTTCGGAAGGCAGGGTGACTGGGGGAGAGGAACTGCAACTCAAAGGTGACAGCACACATGTGATTCACAATCCAAACATTTCACTGCAATGGCAACAGAATCGAGGGTGAGGTTTTTTACTTCAATGACCTTTCAAACACAAAAAAGCAGAAAATGTTCCTGTGAGCCAAATCAGTTCAGAGAACATGAAGTGTAGTTAATTCTAAGTACAGCTAAATGAGTAAACACGTACATTAGAGCAATGAAATTTGACTTCAGGCATCAGGTGTGTAATAACGATTTGACACTGAGCTGTGGAGTACACATACCACATAGAGTATTTCCTATTTCTCTATTTCAGGTGCAGCACAATGTTCCTATATACAGGAGCACCGTATCTGAGGAACTCAAGGGCACGCACCGCTCCTCCACGTGACATGGCCTCAACCACTACGTATTCAAACTGGCCAAGAGCTGGCCAGGACTTTGCAAGGTCCTCAGAAAAGAGGGCAGCCAGAGGCAAACCACAGGTAGACACGCATGGTATTATTAGGCCTGGCGGAACCTTAGGCAGCCCTGACCTACACAAAACAATGACAAAAAAAAAAAAAAAAAAAAAAAGGTAAGATAAAATAAGATAAAACCCTCAAACCAGAGAAAAAGTTTTAGGAAGATTAAGAAGCTATCATTAAATTCATTACTACAGGTGAGACAATGCATTACTCATATCTTTCTTGTCTTGCACAAGCCATCTACGATTCAGACAGCTCTTTCTAACCACTTATTTAGTGAATGTCCATGCTCACTTTTGCAAAGCCAAGACTGAGACCATTAGAGACCTCCAATATCTCCATTTATACCAGCTAAAATCCAATCCATTTCGCAGCAGCCTGAGCTGTAACAAGAATTACTTCAAAATACTCCTTCTCAGTCAATTCCCTGTTGGCAGCTTTCAGCCCTCCCAGCACACAACATGCCATCATATATATACATGATCAATCAAACCATTAAAAATGTCACTGATGTTGAAATGGAAAGATTAACGGGGCCCTAACTCCTTGAGCTCCTCAGAATTAAACAAGCTCTGGCATGAAACACACCAACTCTGCAAGTCAGACTGGAGATAAGAGGAACTGCACATTCATTTTGCTGTGTGTCTTTAACAGTGTTGTTGTCGGTAAATACAGATTGCAGGTGTTATATAGCTCTGAAAAAGTCCTCAAATGTTTCTAACAAACAGAAAAGAACATTGATGACTAAACATGAAACTGATCTTTTAAGAAAGTGACATGCTGCTGCTCACTTAAACAGGTTACTTCCATTCTACAGTTTTGGGATCCCTGTTTGTTTTACAACTCCCAAAACAAATTACAACAACAACAACAACAAAGAAACAAATAAACAAATAAAGTATTTTAAGAATTTTAACACCTGTTATCATTTTTGCCCATATATTTTTAATGGGCAGTATCTACTTTTGCCCCCATGATGGACATTTCAATTCACTATCTGAGAGATAAGCATCAGCTAGAAATTATTTATTCACACTCTATTGACAAGTGTTGCTTTAGAACATAAAACACCCTCTACTAGTTATCCGTTCACCTTCCCCAAAAGATATAACTGGCTCGGGATTTGTTTTTGTTTTATGTGAACTTTAGAAGCTGTATGGATCCCTTCTGATAAAGGCTCCGATATGTGGAACCCTAAACATTTCTGAAGTCCAGCTTCATACCAGCTGCACAAGAAACATTATTGTGAAGTTATAGTTTTGTATTGGTTACTTATTGGTTATTTGTATTGGCTACGCAGAAAAAAACTGCCTGGCACAGTACTGTTAGAATACAAAACTAAAATAATTACACCAGAAAGTTTGCCTACCATAGGCACATTATGGCAGACAGTGATAAAAACTCATCAGGCTCCAGCCTGGCACTGGCCTCAGATGGTATCAGCAATCAACTTCAGAGCACGCAGAAATGGCTTTGAAAGGAGACACTGTGACGTGATCCTGCAGATTAAACAGGAAAATTCAAGCCTTTGAAAGGGATTACAGTGTTGAGATAAATGAGCACAGGTGTCACCAGTTTATCTGGAATTAGCATCAGGGTTTGGGTCTTTCAAAATCATAGAATCTTTAAAAGTCTGTAAATAATTGATTTAGTAAAGGAAAATGATCTGTTAAAGAACTTCATTACTCCAAAGTAAAGTTTCTCCAGAACAGAAGCAAAGATTAGAGCTAGACAAAACACACAAAGATACTTCTTCAAAAGGATCAATGTGCCCACAGATACCAGAGTTAACCCTGAAGCTTTTCTTTTCTCAGCACACTTGCATTTCTCTTCTGCCTTCGGTTTTGCTATGAAATGAACAATCTCTGCACTAAGGCAGAGGTAAAGCTCCTTAAAAAGAGAAACTTTGCTTCTTCGTTAAGGGCAAAAATACCTTCCAACAACAGTGTTGATCAATACAAACCTAAGAAAAATAATCCATTTTCTAACACTTTAAACACTTAAATGCTAAGTTATACAGACATGATTTTGATAAATGCTTCACTAAAAATAACCTATCTGAAAATCCCTGCAAATGAAAGGCCATTACATGCTTGAAGACTAACGAATCATTTTCTTTCTCCAAAGGAGACAGGAACATAACAGAGTCAAATCTTTTGCACATTTAAATACTACAACAGAGGTTTTAGAGACTGATTTCTTGTATTTTAATTTCCAGTGCCATCCCAGCAAGGTACTTCAACAGGATAATAAGCCTGTCTCTTAAGACAGCACATCCTCTTCAACTTACGAGAATAAAACAGGCTGGTGCTGTTACCACTGATACAACGAGCTGCATTCCCTACAGGGAGGTTTTGATTCCTCTCTTTGTGGATGTCTACTTTGAGAACTGCAAAGCACAATGGAAAAGAATTAGAAAACTATTTGAAAAAGGAGATCCCCTTTACACTAATTTAACTCTTCTTACAAATGGCACACACACACGGCTTTTTCAAACCTTGTAGGCAGAATTCTCCATGCAAAACTAGTAATATAAGGAAACTACTTAAATCATTTTTAATTTCAGGTAACTAATCTCCAGATTATGAGTGCAAATAACCAATTCATACTTGTAACAAAGTTAATTTATATCATCAGTCAAACACAGTCATCAACTCTTTAATAAAAATTAAAATTAAGAAGTATTTATTAGTTCAAAACAGTTTCTTAATATAATACACTGTTCATCTCAATTTCTAGCACACAATTTCAAGGTGATGTGTCTATTCTAGAAATATTAATCCACCTTAATTTTCTCTATAGAACATTTAATAAGCTACAGGTAATACACAAACAGAGAGGGAGGGGAAGAAAGAGAGGGAAAAAGGCCCTGTAGTTGCTTAGAATCACCCTGACAGTCTTTTTGGCTTCTGTACCACTTTGCTCTGTTTTTCTTGTATCCTACAGTTCTCGACATTCTGCAGTGTATAAATGACCAGAACTCCCAAACAGGCTTATTAAAATCACGGAGATTTTAAATAGGAGATTTCACAACCCTTATCTAAGAACACGGTTGTAACGTAAGCGTAATACACTAATCTAACACTGTGTATAGGTATATGAGAGGCCTGTCGTTGTTAAGATTACTCTAATAATACAAGTTAAGACTGAGCATATTACACCATAGCTGAGCTTATTAGCAAACAGTGAGTTTGCCCTGCGCAGAAATAAATTTTTCACATAGCAACAGAGAAGAGAATAGCAGAAATAGTCAAGAGGACTCTAAAAAAACACTTGAAATGGAAAATGTTGGAAGTAAATTGGTAGGGTTTCAATTTTAACAAGAAGCTTCTGAAAATTTATTCATTTCAAAATCAGAATATTTAACTATTCAGAGCAAGGGAAAACAAGAACAGCCATCTAGAAAGCAGACAAGTTTTCAGCAGTCTGCAGGGATTTCTATGCAGCACTCAGCAAAAGGTAAGGAAGTCCAAGTGAAACAAAAATAAGCAATGCTCATAAATAACAGAAAACGTGCTTTTAAGCATGAAAATTAGTCATGAATCCATGAAGAATATTTGAATGGCAACACAGATACAACTGGAATTCCTTACTAATAGGCTGAGGCCTAACTTAATGTGGTCAAAAGGACAGAAGAGCAGCCCCCTAGAGAAAATGGGTATGTATCTTGGTTAGCTGATGGGGTTGAAAGAACAAACACAAACCAGAATTAACAATATTAACACTTCCTTGCAAGTATTCTTCTTTAATGAGAGCAATATTCTTCCACTCCTTACTGACAAAGTTAGAACTGAGATGGTAAATGCCAAAAGAAGGACTTGCACTTGTTGAACCCAAAGGCCTCCTTTCTGCAGTCTTTTCACCTGTCTAGCTAGAACTCCAGTGCCCATCACAGAGCAATTTCAGTTTAAAAAAAAATAAATAGCAAGATTAAAGCTGTTAGTGGACTCTGACTGTTCGTCCACCAATTAAATCTAGCCAGCTCTGAGCAGAAACACAGTATGGGTGTTGTACATTGCCCCTGACCCAGCTACTTCTGCAAACACACCTAATGAGTGTCAGGCACAGAGAGAACAACGCTGGGCAGAAGCCACTGTGCTAAAATGCCCTTTGGTGTATGGTATTTCATGCCACTGGACTGCTGGCATAGGAGGTACTTGGCAGCTCTTTTTCTCTTATCTGCAGACACGAGAAGGTGCAGACCTCCAAAGGGTTGTTTGTAATGCACGTGTATGGCTTTTACTTTCAGGAACCAAGCAGATCAGATCATCCAAGGTCTGCATGGAGCCTCAGGAAGTGGGCAGCAGTGGGTAGCAGCAATCAGAGAGAAACGAGAGAGAGAATCATCACTGTACCACTTCCTATTTAATTTCATATCCAGACTCAGTAAAGTAGCATTAAGCAACACAGAGACCTTACTGCGGTTTTAGGAATGACTGGGGAGGTCTTTAAGATAAAACTATATTAAAAACAGAGATGATTTCAAACCTCAGAATTTGAGCTGGATCAGGGGCACCTTCAGAAATACTGACAGGGGAGCTCTTTGTAGGTTTCATCTGTCGTGATCTGCATTAGACTTCAACAGGAACAGACTTCTACAGAAATTAAATCTTTTCTTTTTTAAGCTTACTCAGTATTTCTGAAATAAGAGGGGAGAGTAGAAGTATTTTCTTAATCAGTGCTACGGACAGGCTTCAGCTAAAATACATAAAAATTACTGGTCTCAAATGTCACCTGCTGATTACGCTCAGCTCAGTATTTGGAAGCCTAATCTTTCTTGAAATGCTATCTTTGAAAAGGTTCTTCTATTCATTTGAAAAGAAATGGAACTGAAACACTAACGCCACAAATGTATGAACACATTTGGCTGTGGTCTCCGATTGCAGTCCTGCCTCTGCGCTGAATCTGTCTTGTGAGTACGTGCAGCAGGGGCAGTGAGGGCAGATTTCCATCCCCTCACCCCCCAATACATTGCTTTAAGGCACCGTCAGATTTGATATGCACACCCACTTGGAGATGTGGACTACCCACATGGTTAACTGCAGCTTAACCACTGAATTTTCCTTACCTTTCAAGTGTGTATTTTTTATAATTACTAAAGCTGCCTAAACAATCAAGTGCAGAAGACACCTTCTTCTAGAAGAAAATACTTCCTTTTATCCTGTAGCAAGCATTTCTCCATATTAACCCAGTTTTCTTTTTCGTGTGCAAACAATGCTCTCCAATACACAGAGGAGCAGAAATTTATTTATTAACACAAGTTTGTGTTTCTATTCTTTTTTTCTGCTATGCACATTATTAGTTAAAGAAACCTGCTCTAATAAGACAGAACTTAGAGCACATACTGCATTCCTGCATTCCCCTCAAACAGTATTTACATGCCACGTAATACCCAATTCCACCCTCCAGCATGCTCTGCAAAAAAAAATACGAACTAGTGAGACCATCAGGCTGACCTTTCGCCTTCAGAAATTATAAGGCAGTGAGTGCTGAAGTAAACTAAAAACTTGGTTTTGGAAAGCCATTTCCGTAGCTGACTCTGGATGAGTTGACCCCATGCTCTCTAAGGACAAAAGCACACTTCAGTCTGTAAGGGCATAGAATTTCAATGCTGCAGCACTAAAATCATATTTCACATTGAAACTACAATTTGATTTGTGTGTCCTTGTGAAACTTCTTGGTGTGTGAGGATTGTCTTTAAGAACTAAGTTTTTTATCTAAGAAAAATATTAAGCAAAGAAAAAAACCATGTATTTTTCAACATCTTACTTGACACTGAAAACTCCTCAGAGTTCTCTTAGACCATCAACATAGCCTAAGCCCAGAAAAATTAAAGTATCAAATATCTAAGCATGTCTGCTGCTCGCAGACCTGCATATTTCTCTGGGACTCTCACATATGCCCTCCTGCCTGGGGAATACAGGAGTGTGCTCCAAAACTATAGCATGAACAAACTTACGTCCCTGTATCAGAAGCAATACAAATGTAATACAGAGGTTTATAAACATGCAACATTCATTCTTTTTTTTTTTTCTTTTTTTTTAAGGTTAAGGCTATCTTTTCTTTAAAAATAATTCCACATCCAAATACAATTGTATTACATCTCCAAGTCTTTTAAATGCTTCCAGGTATTCTCCAATCCTGTAAGGCTCTTTATCTAACACAGCACGCTACAGATGTTTCTATGCACATTCCTGGAGCAGCTGCTGCTGTCAAAGCCATTTGGTTTGACCAACTGTGGGATTTCTCAAATTCTCTGCTACAGTCCAATGCAACACTTTAAGGTAAGTATGTAAGGCACTAGTTGGAAAAAGGTAAAACTCAGTTAAAAAAATATACATATAATAATAATATATATATATATACAAGCACATTAAAAGAAGTCTTAATTTGCATTTGTTTTTAGCCTTACAGGGTAATCAAGTGGTTTGCCTTTCTGAAAGTCAGTCTTACATCATGAATATTTTAGCACAGTATACACACAGCAAATGCTGTGCAGTAAATAACGTAGGCAAGTAGCAGACCCCGAGTCTGCAAGAAGAGAGGGAGGCAGAAGAGCAGTTGGTAAGCTACTTTCTAAATATATTTTCACAGAGAAAATATTTGAGAAAGAAAAATTCCACCCTTTGATAAAACCCACAAGGAGCTTGAAAAGATGAGGAAGGATTTCCATAGCTCAGGGTTGAAACTACTATCAAAGCAACTACAAATTAAGCTCTAAGTAGAGATACAGCTCGACATCCCTCTGAAAGAAAGAAGCAAGTCTAACAGATCACTTAATGCTAAATTCATGTTCAGCAGAAGAGAAAAGCTGCTGATTTTGTCTTACTTACGACCCAACCAACCACCCTAATGAGGATACAACGCGCTCTCCGCCTTGCAAATTCTATGAGGCAGCTTCTCAGGCTGCATCCTTCACACCTCCACAGGAAGCTCAGAAGAAAAGTTTCCATCTATGAGTGGTGAAAATAAAAAACTTCTGTGACCCATGGACTAAGGATGAAAAAAATGAAAAAGATACCTAGTTTCTAGGTGCAGCCATTCAGTGTTTTTCACTTTTTTTTTTTTTGAGAAGAAAAAATAGAAGTTGAGGAGACAGTGTACGGAGGCATGAAGAAATTAGCAAAATAAGTCTTTGAGTTGTTACCAGCTCTATTTCAGCTACACGTTCCTGGCAGGAAACTCAATGTCCTGCATCTACACTCACACAGAATCCCTGATTTTCTTTACAGAAAGGTTTTTTTTTGTTGTGGAGTTTTTATATATCCATACATGTAAATTACACTCCCACAAATAAGATGTATTGCATCAATTTTATTACAAGAACTAAACTAACTCTACAGAGCTTCTGTTGGTAGAAAAATGCTCAGTCCACAAACCTGAGGCAAGCTGAAAGAAGTCTCAAACCTTGGATTTGATTTCAAGAGCTGTGTCCATCCATCAGCTTGGAAACAGATTTGCTTAGATGCAGTTCCACTGAGTTCCTTTAAGCTCATTCACAACAGATGAGTACACGGCCCTAAGTGAGTTTTAAATCTGAGAGAATGGTATTTAAGCAAAAAATTAGGGATACTGAAATTTCACCTAGAGTCTGTAGTACCAATGAATTATACATGAAATTGTACATGAATGTACAACGAAATTGTACAGCATTTCCTTACCCACTCACCACACATCTTCTGATGTGTTTCAAGGGCTTCTAATTGTCTTCCAAATACTACTTAGTTGACATGGAGACTGCTTTGCTTGACAGATGCCAACTGTTAATTTTAATGCTAGCTTGCAGCATCAAGATACAGTTACTAAAAAATAAAAATCTTTTATAACTGGGGAATAAAAAAATCCATTAAGTGGGAGAGAACATATATTAGCTTAAAAATAAATCCTGCTCCCAAGATTCAGGCACGGTATTTGCCAGCTTACTTAATATCCAAATCTCCTTCAGCTTTCTTTCTAAATCTCATCAATCCTTTTTGTTTAATTCCATCTTTCTGGTAAACAGAGAGCTGAAGACATCTCCTCGCTGCTGTCTGAGCTTGAAAACACATGGAGCCACCCATTACCAGTAGACTATTAAGCAGAGGCATAAATGCAGAAGGAATGTTGTTCATCACAGCAACCTTCATTTCTGATTCTCCACTGTTTACTATATCAATATACCACCATGGAGATGATAATGATTCCTTTTAATTAAAAGAATGAAGCTGATGGAAATAATTAATGCTAACTACCAATGTGTTAGATATTTAAGATAGGCATGTGCCTGAGGTGAAGTGCTATACATTATCATAAAGAAACAGGGACTTATCCCTCCCATCTGTTTTCAGATCCATTCAGAAAATACACTTAAACACGAGTTTATTTATTATTATGGGAGCAAAAAAAAAAGTTATCGTGACCCAGTCCTGGGTAACAACCTCATCCTGCTAGGATAAGAAAGCTTACTTGTTGCAAAACAATAATCCCTGCCACAAAGGGAGAAACAAAGACAAAAGATCAGGGTCCAATGAAAATATAGTGGGTGAACAAAGAAAGAGACCCAGACAGTAAGATAAGCAGAGGTTATACTATTTGCTAAATGACACAGAACTGCTATCCCGAACCAGGCCTTAGGTGTCTCTCCAAAAACCAAGCAAATATTGGCAGGCCTTTACTTGAAAGATGCTGTAGAGATTTTTCCAGAGATCAAAGAGGCTCGTGGCTCAAAGTATTTTTCAGATTCCAGCTACATATTACCACCTCTCTAGAAGGCATCAGCATACACTTTCTCTGCTATTTTCCAACGGATATCATAAAAAAGTACCAGAGATACTTAAGGAAAGAGAACCGTAGCAAGCAGGAGGAAGTTAATCGGGCTATTTATAAATCAGATGCAGGATCCTCTCTCCACAAGTGCCCTGCTGAACAGGCAACTGAATGCTAAGCATCTTGCAGCACCAAGCTTCGTGCTCTCAATTATTTTAACAAGTGTTATTCTCACACAGGCCCTGTTTAGCAAATAACTTATCACAGGACTTAACTGCACGATAAGAGCCAGCTCAGGTGCTTTGATATCCTTAGAGATAAAAGCAATGGGCTTCAGGATACAGCCTACATGCACTGCTGAACTGAAGCTTCACAGGGTTAGTTATTTACTGCTCCACACCCCCTGCCGAAGAGTTGTATCAGGATACACACACACACACACACACACACACGTGTAGTATTTTCTTATTTAATAGGTTACCTTTAGCAACTGGTATACCTGCATCAAAACTACTTTGCCTAGATGAAAAATGGGATTAAAATCCACACATTAGAACTGGCACCGGATCAGGCAGGTCAGCACATTCTCCTGAGATCCCGGTGCTTCCATTCACTTTTGTCACATAAATCAGACCAGTCAAGTGACACAGTACAATGGCATGTGGCAACGTGCTGACTTAACACGGGGCGTACAGGGCCGAGTAGTGTGATTAGGCTGAAGGAGCTGCTTGCTGGAGATGACGGCATGGCCACAAGTAGGGCACAGGAAACACTCGTGACCATTGCAGGAACTTTCTACAAATAACAGAAAATAAGAGAAAAAGCAGATAGAGGCTGGAGAGCCTTTCTGCCCTACAGAGCCTCAGACCAAACCACCACACAGACAAGAGCCGCAGACTGATGAAAGTCACGGGGAGGAACAGCGCCAGGCCCAGGCCACACGTGGGAGATGTAAACGTGGTCCCATCCTTCCTCAGCCAGCCAGGGCCGGGCTGAAGGTACAGCCAGACCCCAGACACCCACCGGGGCAGCACTACAAACCTTCCTGCCCGCTCGCTGCCCCCGAGGCGGGGAGCACACGGAAACGCCTGCGAGCTCGGAGCTCACGCCGCCCCGCTCCCTGAATAGAAGGAAAATCCTTTCTTGGCAACATATCCTGCTTTTCAATTAGGCAATGCCAAATCCATCGGGTCCCGGTCCCCAAATAGAAACCAAGGAGATTCCTCATTTACATGGGGAAAGAAATGCACAAATATGTAGCTGGAGAAGATTTACATACAGCTGGACACATTGAAGCACGGGCAGAGCATCAATTACAGAGATGGTAATTATCAAGAATTTTCTTCCATGAATTGCAAATCTTAATACTATTACTAACTAAATCTCCCTGAAGCTTTTTATTTAGACGAAAGCAGCGTATATGCATTCCACTATTATTTGGGAAGAAACAACAGCCTCAGCCTGTATTTTAAGAACTACAACTCAAGCACCGCAGTGTATTTGTAATCCCAAACTGTAATCCAGGACACAAACTCGTCACAAAGCACACATTTCCAAAAGTCAAAAAGAAAATGAAGATCAAAAAACACACTCAATGCCACTTCAAGTGCAAAGATACAGGAAAAAAACTATAGGTATCTTACCTATATGTGGTAACTCATGCTGATCTGAGACAGTAAGGATTATTTTATCTGCTCGGCTGTAAAACATGCAGGAGGAGGTAGGAACTAGGAACGCACAGCAAATGTTAAAATGCAAACATGACAAAATATAAAACAGGGTTTTGAAATTCACACTGCAAGTTATGTCATCGTGGAATCATCACACCACCCCTGCCCTAGGAATACACTGTATGTATTGTTCACTTCGCATAGCTCAAAAAGCACAGCAGAACAGAAGGGGTCAAATAAAAGGCAATGAGATTAGAGGCAGGAACTTGGGTATGTTTGGGGTAAAAAAAAAAAAAAAAAAGCTGAGCTGCAAAGCACTGGCAGGAGGCAAGTACTGCAGACTGTGGCAGAGATGTACAAAAAAGGGGATGGGGGAAGGCAGAAAAATCAGTCTCATTAAAGCTGCAAGGATGGAGGAGGGCAGTATTTGAAATGAAATTTTTCTCTTTCAGATCAAAGCTTATTTAAGATTATACCAGCAATATGATTAAAAAAAAAAAAAAAGAGTAATATTTTACTTTTTAAATGGTATTTTCCAAAAGGTTTATTGAATACAAATATCTCAGGTATAAGTATTTCACTAAGGAACATCAAAAAGAGTTTGGGAAAAAAAGAGCAAGTGAAAAAAAAAAGGCTGCTAGCTATCCTTGGTTTATATTTCCAAAGAAGCCACAAGGGCCAACCCTTAAAGCTCACAGACAGCCCAAAAAGACAAACCCGGCATTTGGGCTCACACCACCCAGCTCCCCAGCTGACCCCAGGAACAGGGGAAGGGAGCCAGCAGCGAGCTGCCCGGACCTGGTCTGCACAGCTGCCTTCCCATCTTCTTGTACCAAACCTTCAGGGGCTGTGACTTCTTCCAGGCTCTGCCCCTCGCTGCGTCCTCAGCAATCGCTCTGTAGAAGCCAGTATTGCTGTGCATTTTGTTCTAGAGTAACAAACACTGTTATCTGTATGAACCCATCTAGAGGTAAATCCACACAAAATCAGGGGGTAAGAGAACCACTGATGTGCTCCCTTACGCTCTCTCCTTTTACCACCCACACCTACGCGTAACTTCAGTGCTGCTGGGCTGCAAGCTTATAGTCAAATGTGAAAAATAAAGAAGGAACCCCCACAACCAGATATGTGAAAATGTAAGAGCAGTTGTTCAATGTAAGTTCAGGTTCCCATGCAGTAACATAATGCTTCAGTGTTTGGGTTACATCAACTGTGATTCAACCACTTGTTATAAAAATAACTGTTTACTATAATATTTTTCAACGTGACTTGAGGTTGAAAGCTTACTTTTCACAAAACATTCGCTTCCAGTTAAATTTAACTTGGCAGCATCCCTTTCACTTAAATATCCATTTTGCCAAGTGGAAACACGCTCCTAGATGTGGAATTCACATCACTGCTTAAATAAAGAATTGTAATTTTTTTTATTTGTTCTAGCTTTCCAAGGCGGCATTGGTTTGTTTGTTTTTTGTTTTTTGTTTTCCCAAAAACAACCAGTTAGAGCTCTCCTTCTGCACACTGTTTTTGGCACAGATAAGATCTCCAGGACCACTTCAGTTAAAGGCATCTTTCTTTTACCTAAACCCCAGAAAAAGTACACAGTAAAACAACAATTTCTTCCTACGTGTGACACAGGGAGGATAACTGCATCTGCAGTACAGCAGACACTGAGCATCGCAAACGAATTATTGTAAAAGGAAAGAGGACATTTAGCTGCAGGCAACACTGTTTGAAAGCTTAAAATCTAACTGCACTTCCAAACTGTTCACCCCCTTTCAACGTCCATTGACTGAATAAAATGCATATGGATTTCTGTCAGGTGGGAAGAGCCACAACGAAAAGCTTGGAGAAGGAAGCGCTACCAAGAGCTATACAGGAGTGTTCAGGTGGGGTGGCCACGTGGCCTACGGCAGAGACGTGCCCAAGATCTCATCACTCACTCCTCATGATGGATTTTATCTTGATGCCTATTTTAACATGGGACTTTCAAATCCACTACATCGAACCACGTAGGAAGAAATACCAAAAGAGTCATCAGAAGAAAGCTTCCTCTATCTTGGTTTCAGAATCTCTTTTCAGGAAACATTCATTTCAGACGTAAATAAATCTGCGATTGATTACTACTTAATAGTCAGTAACATTAGTCGTCTAGATACATGGTTTGAAATCCTATGCCAAGAGGTTAATTGCATTACCTATTTTAATGGCATTAAGAGGAGAGAATTTCAAATTCATGTCAGATCATTCTCAACAAACTTCATGAGCCTGGGGATCCCGTAGCTTTAAGGCCCTGCCTACAGCTGTAGTTGAAACTGTGTGAGCAATTAGAAATAAAATCCTTGCTGATAGGATCTGAAACTGTTTGTTTTTTTCCTCTCCCGAAGTACACAGTGGAATAATAGCTCTGAATGACTAGGCAAAATGGTCTGCAGTAACCAGACTCACCCTTCTGAGTTTGTCTCTGCTGATCTCAGTTGTATAGCTTCATAAATGTAATTAATGAAAATCAGTCTGCTCCAAAATCCCCCAAAATAAAAAGGAAACAGAACAAATAGATAACAGAATAGGTGATAAATGTCCTGACTCATAGCAGGTGCGATACTATCCCCTAGACATACCAGAGACTGCAATCCTACAGCAGTAAAATAACCAACCATCTAGAAATCTAAATTTGTATGACAATTATCTGTATGTTCCTCATCATAACACTTCTTTTTCTTTTAACCTGTATGTCACACTGGTTATTTTAACAGCTTTCTTTGAGGAGAAGGAAGTGGGGGCTGGCAGACACCAGAGACCACAGTTCACTGGATCTCAGTGGTACACAGGCTGGTAAAACACACAGACAAGTTTTTTCAAGCTGTAAGAACAGACGGGATATAAAGCTCTGACCCACAAGTCACAGCTCTAATTCCTTTCAGATTCTGGGAGGCCTTCTTCAAGGTCTTTACACAACTTGCATCATTTCAGAGACATTTTAGTGGCTCAGAGACGTAATCAGTGTTTGTAAAGCTCCCTGACTGCAGCCTGTTGAGCTCCTTGCTCCCAAAGCAGGTAAGCATGTCCTGTCCTGATCAGGACCAGGTACAACTCCCAAACTTTGGATCCTCAAGTACTGCAACCTCCTTCCCTAGGAAGGGCAGAAAAGAGGACAAAACAAGGTAGAAAATGGAACTATTCATAAAGACTAAAAACTCCAAGCACAGAAGCGTAACTCCTGCCAGTCACTGCACATGCACAGCCTCACACACTCTTGTGATTTCTAAATTGCCCTCTCCCTACGAAGTTCAGACACAAACAGATGTAGGGCAGTATTTCAAAACAGCTTTCCTGATCAAGCATAGCTTCTTCCTCACCCAGTATTACTTTCAGTATCTGAAAGAAACGCATTCTTTCCAGGAACAAAGAGAGTAATAAGTATTTGGTAAGATGTCATAACACGACAGCACGGCAACAAAAACATAGCCCTCCTCACAATACTCGTGTGCAGGGATAAACTGTGTACCAGGAACAGCTTTAAACATACCAATAATTTGCTAGTTTTTCTCCAAAACTAGAGTAGGATCTCTGTATCACCAGCTCCACACCTTCATTTAGTAACAATGCCCCTTATACGTGACATTTGGGGTAGCCTGGCTTTATAAAAATGTTCAGATGTGGATTCAGGAATAACAACTCATCAATTCCCCACCTTTAATGAAATACCAATGCAGCAAAGAAAAGGAGCTTTCAAAATTTCAACACAGTCTCATATTGATTTCTATGCTGTTGAAAGTAAATCTTTTCACTTTCAACCTGGTATCTTTGGGATCTCAGCCACAGGTGTTATGAGAATCACTTCTGCAGACAAAGAAACTAACAAGCAAATAGCCTGAGCTCAAAGGTTTGGTGTTTTGTTTGTTTGGTTTTTATTTTTTGTTTTTAAACTAAAGCTGGGTGGTGTTACTTTTCAAAGAAGGTTATGAATGAGTAATTGAAGGCTGACTTCTGCAGAGAGAATGAATCCACAGAGATGCCAGTGCAGACGCTCTTCCCCTGAAGAAGCACAGTGGGGATGAGCGTGGCAAGTATTATAGGAGGTGAAACACAATTTTTAATCTCAGTATTAGCTCTGCTCCATAAACTTGTTTTAGCATTCAAATACTACAGTTTTCTGTAGCATTTTTACTCTAACAAAGACAGCAGTAAAGTGCTGCTCAGTAACAAAACATTGCTTTTGTCAATGTTTTTTGTTCATCACGAGCTATAGACAAGAGGGCAATTCTGCAGTGCAAACTGCATCTCTGATGGGGTAGCAGAGGTGTTTCAGTACGACTGTCACATTGCCACGCTTAACAGAAACAGCGCCCCTTTGCAAAGAAATAACAAGAGGAGTAAAGAACATCCGTTAAGAAAAACACGAAAAAAAAGGATTTCAAGCAAATTCTCCAACCAGCTTTCACTAATGATTTCTCATTAATACCCGAACAATAGCTCCTTGGCTGCCTTCGATATTAGCCAAGGACCAGTCTTCAGGACACCGCTGCTGCTGTTCTTTCCCCAGTTTGGGCTAGGGAACACTCTGAGTTTTAGTTAATTCTCATAGAGAAAACTCAAGGGCTGCTGATGCTCAAACCCAACTGGCTGGGGGAGTTATGATGGCACATAGGACCTACGTACTTGGCAACAGGAATAGTTTAAGCTGAGCTAAACAAATCCATCTCTGAATTTTGGTCAACTTCTGCAAGAAGTTTCATCTTGAGAAACATGGAAATACGCCAACAGCTCGTTTTGGCAATTGGGAGTATTTGCTTTCAAAGGTGGACTGTAAGGGGACAAAACTGCTACAGAAGATACGCGGGAACTGGTAACTACTCCAGTGAAGGCAATACCTAAGCCTACTACTAGGTATATTTTGTCTAAATAACAAATTATTAACTTTTAAAAGTTTATTAGCATTTACAATCACTTCACATACATTTCAAA